ATGAAAGTAGCAACGAGCTCGTGTTGATAAACAAAGTCTAACCTCTGTACGCTTTCGTTCACAATATAGCTGCTTCATTTCTTCAAATTTCTTGAGAATATTCGTCCAGTAACAATAATTCTTGTATATTCTGAGTTGATTTTGTATGAAAGTAGCAAAACGAGCTCGTGTTGATAAACAAAGTCTGAGGCTCACCACTCCTTCAGAGTTTAAATGCCGTTTTGCGGCGTTATAAAGCCATAATACTCCAAATTTTTTGCTCAAAATTCTTCTTGTATGCTCCTATCGTTGTGATTGTAAAATTGGCCCGATCGGAAACGTAGCCAAGGCAAAAAACGCAAAAAACTATCGTCTGTAATACAAATCTATACAAAAGTGGGGCCCCAGAATCGGGTGGCGGCCGGTGACTTCCGGCTTCACTTTTGTATACTATAGATGCGTTATCCAGTCTTATTTCAGATCAGTGCTTTCAGCCCTCAGCAGAGCCTCCTTAAGTATTTACAAATATTTACAAGTATTTACAAAATAGTTACATGATCACGAAGTTTCCTGATTAGAGTGAGCACGCGGGGAGTGATGGGCATTGGTTGTTCATCAGCTCACTGGTTTTAATACCCCCTCCCGGAAAGTACGTCACCTTGGCTATAGAGCCTCGTTTTTCGTGATTGAGATGTTGGACCGTTAACAAACGTCACATACACGAAAACGAGGCTCGATAGCCAAGGTGACATACTTTCCGGAAGGCTGTATCTATACTAAACGTTTTAAATTTATAATAGCGTAGAAGCCGGGTTTTTTTTGTTTGGGGAGGACTCTTCCGCCCCCCTGTCGTTCTCCTAATTCAGAATTCGCTTTTATCCTTTTAGGGTGGATTTCGTCGAAATATTTCGCTTGTAAAAATCAGTTCTACTTGATTAAAGTTTCGACAGCGAAATATTTCTTGCAAATGGAAGTCCAGCTTGATACAGCTGTCTATAAAATGCCCGTAGTTCAAGCTGTCCAACAATGTACATGTCAGTTGGATGATGTTGGATGAAATTTTGAATAAGGTCAAACCACAGTTTGGTCATACACAATCCAATATCAACCAAATTACCAAAAATAGTGTTCAAACAAACGCAACAACAATCTTGGTTTATGTTGGTTTATGCTGAACGGGCCTTGATAACGGCATTAATCCCTGTGGGAATGACAGGCGAATTGTAGCTTTTCTCTGACTAGTCGACCGTACATAAGTCTGCATAAGATGGCGCTCAGTAGACATGCATATACGGTTTAAACTCAACTGAGCAACTTTTCGCTTTTCTTTTTGTTACAGCTATTATTTAGGTTGTGATGATAGACCACGTTTTAGACTTGTTGTTTCCCTGCCTTGCCTGTCTAATGCAAATTTCTTTGAAAATAGGCCACCAGTCAAATGGCCAAGAGATTTATTCAACAAAATATATCCTTTGTGAGAGTTCGAGCTGGTTTCGTTTATGATAAAGGATAGGCAGCTCTATAAAATATAGTGAAGGTCACGACAATACTGCGGGAAGAAACTACAATTTTAAGATGAAATTTCGTATTATTTTGGCTTATGCTTTGTGTTCGTGTTTTGGTTGGATAATCTTGAGAGTGACAGGCGAAAGTCTTGACAATGGTATGGGTTCTTACTTCATTTTATTGTTGTTTCATTTAGTCTACTTTATGACACGATGCTCGTGTACTCGGTATTTAGTAAACCAAACTTGTAATCTTTTCAAAATTGTGACTTATTTTAACAAACACAGTGACTGTCATGGTCCTCGCTAATTCAGTAATCATCTGGCATGCATCAGTGAACTCTAGCTTTCCTCCTTGGTCACTTTACATAATTTTATCTAATAGTTTTGTCAGAATGGCAATAGATGTCGGACATAGCCTCGGTTCGCATTAATTCGCTCAGTGATTAGCTAAATTTTGCTCAATTTGATGCCCCCGTCCCCCCTCCCCCCGGCTCCATCTCCTTCTCAGAACTACCTTTTTAAGAACTAAACATGTAACTATTAAGCAGACTAAAGCAGTACATAAACCACTGGCGTTATAAACCATTTCTTTCATCAACCGAGGTACACTGATCCCGTCTGATTGGCTCTTTAGATGTGCAATTTTTAGCTACACACGACATTAACAGCAACACATATCAATAATGATCATGCAAGCTATATAGTTTAAAATGTTAACATTACCAACTGTTTATCTGACCTACACTGTCTACAGTTTCTGGCGTTCTTTGTGTTTAGGATTTGGAAGTAGCATAAACTGGCAAACCTTAGACGAAACTCTGACCCAGAAAAGGTGGGGATTAATTTGCTCTTCTGTCGCAGACTTGGAGACATCAATAAATTAAGAAAAATTGCTGTATCCACATGATTATTGTGTTTATATTAGTTGTATAGTACTTGTATTAGTATTAATAGGTTTCTTTAGCTAAAATATTTGAACCCCAAATACTGAGGTGAATGCAGAACGCCTGATAGGTGGGGTTCTTAGATCTCAAGTCTCGTGCACAAAATGTCTTTCCACAGACGTTTTCCACCTCGCGTCCGTGATGATCAAGGAACCTGAATCCTACCTTTCTAACTCTACAGGAGCTTTTCCTGCGATCCCAAATTCCTGTGCAATAAATACGTCACCCTACGCGTCCAGCAGGGCTTACAGTTGTGGACCCTTATTTGTTATTAAACTACTTTACCCAAATTCACTAATTCACATTCATAAACCGAGTTTTATTAGTAGCTGGAAGCGCTAGCGGGTGGGAAAGGGGAACATGAAGATTTACATCATGCGTGAAGCCGTGAAACAGTTACACCGTATATGTACTTGGAAACTACTGTTTGAAGACTGAAAGCATCATTTCATTTTGTGTCACCTTATACTGTATACACTCATCTTGGAATTGTTAGAAAATAATGCGTATAATTTGAAATAAATTTCCGTTAATAGCTTTAGAATTTTTTACGTTTAATTTTTCCTTTCAGCGAGAAGCCAAAAATGTTGATTATTCATAAGAGCTGGTGCAAAGCATGCAAAGGTATATACTATGATAAAGTTGTTTTATCTGAATTCCTATAACTATAAAGCTGAGGGGAAATTTACCAAAATATTTCATTGATCATGCATGGACGTCATAAACGGGCTTGTGTCGTCATCAGAGCGCAATTTTAGCTGTACTTCGCTGGAACTCGTTTTCATCCAGTGACCTGAAACTACGCGGTTTAGAAAAGAATTGAAGTACAATTGCATGTACAAGCATGCATGCATACACTCGACTCCAATATTCCTTATAGTGTCATTTCACCAGTCCAGCTAGTCATGTTTCATGCCGTAATACCTTGGAACGTTTGCTGGTCATATGGTACCAGCAAAATTGAACCAGGCTATTACTAAGGTTAAACCCACTAAATATGTAGTGTTATTTCTATAACCAGAACATTTTAACCAGTTAGTGTACCCAATTCTCGTCATCAAATTCAATTTAACGATTCTATTTCTAGGTTTAAAGGAAAAAATATCGTCATCAAAAGAGATAGAAGATCTCAGTCGAGACTTTGTGATGATCAACAGTGACGTATGATAATAAATATAATATTTTAAACTTATAATAACTAATAATGGGAGAATAGAGAATGTTTAAAACGAATTGTGTTAGGGTGTTTGGGGGTAATCTGAACTTTTGTCATTTAGGATGAAGATGAAAGCCAAAAATCCGACTACGATATTGATGGAAAATATGTGCCAAGAATTTTCTTTTATGGTATGCTTAGTATCATTTGTATGCTTAGTGGTCAACTGAATTGGCTATATAATCTGGTAAACCTATACGTTGTGTACAATTAATTATACTATATGTTGGTTGTACTTCATTACAACTTAAGGGCCTCAATATACATAGCCTATATATTGCGTCCGTGGGCCGGTTTCGTCCCCCCTCCCCACTTTTTGTTATGGATCTTTGCTCTTGCAAAAAATAATTGTAGTCCATTCAATCAAAGAGAACTTACTATTTTTATGCAAACAACGAATACAATTATAGCGAATTTCTGCAACTTTTTTGGTCCATATCTGTTATCTTAAGTGTACGCCTATCGTTTCACCATCATTAGCTATCATAGTTGCATGTCTTTCTATACCAGCTGTTTATGGTAAAGTTTCTACCTATGAACAGTAAAAATTTTAACGTTCGCATAACCGATTGTTTCTTGATGGACATTGAATTTTATATTGTTGTTAATTTCTTAGGTAAAGATGGGAAGCCACTTAAAACCATTTTCAATGAAAGACGAGAAAAACACAAGTATTTCTACAGCAAACCCAAAGACAGTGAGTCATTATTCTAGTCGTCCTTTCATCAGTAAATAATACTAGTACTAGCATACTTTATATAGGGGCACGCCCGATCTGAGATTTACTTCAATATGCTTTGCTTCTGTGACAGAAGCAAAGGATATTATATGTTCAGTGGAGGTTGAGCGATTGCATTCCAAATCCATTAAATGCATGTCAAAATATCTAAAATGCGATTTTTGAATTATTTGTGATATTTTCCTTACGATTTTTGAATAACTATAGTGTTCTTTTAATTCTGTTTAGTTGTTACCAGTATGAAAGCTGTACTTGAAAAAGAAAAGAAGACCGTTACACCGCTCGATCGAGGTTTCAATGACAATATTAAATGGATGACATTCGATGATGCTGAGAAAGAGTCGAGAGCAAGGTAAAACAATTATCTATGTGAGATTAATAGACAAAATAAGCAATAAATATACCCTGAAATATGGTAAATGTAGGTAAACTTCTATTATGGACATTATAAAATCGACATGGTGTATACTTTTATAGTGGAAAACCAATGATGGTATTAATTCACAAAACCTGGTGCGGTTCGTGCAAAAGTAAGTATGTCTCAGTGGATTTAGTAGCCTACTGCCTCTAACCATGTCATATAGAATTATACAATTTTAGGACTTTGGTAAATGAACGTGTATTTAATAGTTCACATTTATTTTCAGTTTTAAGACCAAAGTTTGCTGCCTCAAAAGATATAGAGGTGCTGAGTGAGAGATTTGTTATGGTCAACACAGAGGTATTATAAGTTTGTTCATCTATAATTTATTTCTCAATCCATGCATATTAATAGCAGTGCATCGTAAATCTTTAACAAGCAAACAAACTGAGAGGAAAGCTGAATATCTTAAACTGTATTTTCCACCTTTTCCTCGTTTTGAAGAACCAGAAAGTTCAAAATATATTGTAGTATAGTCAAATATAGAAAACTAAAATACAACAATGTTTCTTCCGCAACAGGATGACGAGGAGCCCAAAGACAGTGCATACGCCGTTGACGGTGCCTATATCCCAAGGATATATTTTGTAGGTGAGTGGTTATACTAGTGTTTTACAGAAATATTGGGAGGTTTAGGGATGAAGGTTGCCTGTAATATAAAGACGAAGGTCGGCTCTCAAGAAAGGAATTTATTATTTAGTATAAAAATAAAATCAATAGCTACGTATTTAAAACGTCGTCCAGGTTTTGTCTACAATTACGATTCTACGTCTATTGCACCCAATTTTCAGGTAAAGACCTATTATAAGGACCAATTAATTATAAACTTATTATTGTTGTTTTTTATAAAGAACCAAGTGGTCGAGTTATGGATGAAATATGGAATAAGGAGACATCGTTTCCTGATAATAAATATTATTATGGGGAACCTGATCACAGTAAGAGAATTTCAACATCTTTTCAATGGCAACAATATATAGGAGATACTTTTCTATTTTACTGATCGGCTAAGCATGTATAGTTTGCTTCCACTAAGACATGAAATAAGTAGGCTGCTGGACCGTTATATTTGATTCAATGAATCGGATGCCAATTTTATTACTCTTCATGATCAATATGTACTTCAGGATCAGTTGAAGAATTAACGTTCACTAATTCAGTATTCCTATGCTTGTTTTTTGCCAGTTGTTCGCAGTATGAAGCTGGTGATGGAAATGGAGTTTAGTTCAAACAATCGCCATAGAGGTATATATCGTACTATTATTTGCATTATATATTTACATTATATACTTGCGTCGATGGGGATAAAGGTGCGGGACCTCGACGAGCGTGCACTGTCTTAACTGCTACCAATTTTTATAAATAAAAAATTGCAATCTTTTCCAAACAAAGTCGCATTATATTGCACGAAATATATTGCAATCTTAACTGCTACCAATTTTATATTAAAAATTGCAATCTTCCTAGGATTCGGGGAAAGGATTGATTGGCTAACATTTGAAGAGGGCCAAAAGGAATCAAAGAAAAGGTAAAAAGTACAGTTTAATGAAAATATGAATTCCTCCTAATAGATAAATGTTGTACCGGCATTTCGTACACTAGTCCATTATAAAAATGCTATATAGGCCGCAGCCAGAAACAAGATGTTGTTAATACGATAATTTCAACACAATAGTTTGTTAACGCTATATATTGCATCTTTAATTTCAGTGGTAAACCAATGATGATAATAATTCACAAAACGTGGTGCGGTTCCTGTACAAGTAAGTTCGCCACATTCTTCATCAAAACCATACAACAAACTTTCTACTGATCCACATGCAAGTGTCGATATTGGTACTATTTCATTAGCCAGTTACTATAACGCAAGTTTATTACATTTTCTTTAGATTTAAAACCAAAGTTTGCGGCTTCGGATGAAATTTTGGAGTTAAGCAAGAACTTTATCATGGTCAACACGGAGGTAAAGTTAAAGTTATGTGCAATGCTAATTAATGATTTTGCATGGTCAGTTTGATTATTTGCTCGTGAATAATTTATGTCAACTTAGTCGAACTAGTCTAGTTTTTTAACCTATTAGTATAACATATTCTATTGGAAGGTTTCCCTAAACACTATAACTTGCAGGCAGCTGTAAATGGTGTCGATCGTCAGTTATACAGTATATCTGAGTGAAAGATCGCATTTTTTCATCGTTGGGAATTCGGGGCAAAACTATTGAAAACAAATTTCATTTAAGTCTGAAGCGGTGAGAAATTTACGAGACAAATGTATACTATGTGTGATAATTGTACACTTTATGTTTTTGATCGACTCTTTTTGTCCAGGATGATGAAGAGCCAAAAGATAGCAAGTTTGTGGTTGACGGTGCTTATATTCCAAGAATATTTTTCGTTGGTGTGTACTTCCACGAATTCAATTTACTTCATGAAATAATAAAACATTAATAAAATTATAAAAAAGTTATAGATCTAACTTTATAAAATATGACTGTTGAATTTTAAAAATATCTTTCCCTATTATATAAAGAACCCAGTGGTCGTGTTATGAACGAAGTATGGAATGAAGGAACAGCTTTTCCTCATGTTAAATATTACTATGGAGAGGCAGATGAAAGTATGCTGAGAGATTTTTTTTTATAGTTATTTATTTTTTTATAGTTATTTATTTTTTTATTAATGAGTTAATACAGAATGTTAGTCAATTGATTAGTTTATGAGTAGGAGTTAATTGGTTCATATAATTGATTAGTGCATGGTTAATTAGCTATTAATTAGCAAGATAAATAGGTATTTGGTTTATTATTTGCTTAATCAGAATTAGAACGCTGTTACGGAATCAATTAGTACATTGCTTTATTAATTAGTTATAGTCATTTAACATACTAGTTGATTTGTTCACATGCACATGCATGTACTCGAATTTAATTTTATTCATGAATTTTGTCAAATATAGTTGTTCGTAGTATGAAATTGGTCATAGCCAAGGAAAATAATTCTACAAAACTTCACAACGGTATGTAATTCAAGTCATAATTTTTACAATCTTTATTTACCAAGGATAGAAACACCATTACTGGTTACCCAGTAGTTTTCATGATGGCCCTCACGAGTAATCCTCCAAATATTGTGGACCATCCATTATATTTTAACCTACACTTTATAAAATTAGTCAAAGAATGCTGGTGTGCTTTGCTAACTTGGTTCTGACATTATTTCTTATTTTTGTTATTTAATGCCGTGCATAGGATGGGGCAAACAAATTAAATGGGAAACATTAGAAAATGGATTAACTTTATTCAGAGAAAGGTAAAGATGTAAAGCTAAATGAATTCTATATTCCATGATGCCTTCGAGACCATTGTTTTACTTTTACAGAGTTTTCTAAATACTCAATAGAATCTTTAATAAACTTTAATAGAATAATTAATTAATTATTCTATTTTTTGTTAATTTGAGTGATAAAATGCCTATCACGTCGTTTGTTTCAGAAAAGTTCCAATGCTCCTGATCATATACAAGTCATGGTGCAAGGCATGCAAAGGTTAGTTGTTATAATACTACATGAAAATCTCACATAAACTAAGTGTTACTTATAAATCTTAATTCTGCATGAATAATGAATATATAAACTGCAAAAATCGGAGGTTATCTAAGGTGTCCACTTCCCAGAATGGGCGATTTAATTGAAAAAAATAAAATGAACAGTCGTTTTAAATCTTATTGCCAGGGATTTGTCTTCATGTAGCCAGCTTGATTTTTGTTTTGTATAATTGACATAGTTGAGATGACCCCTGGCCAAATCAAATTAGATAACAGTTGTAGTTAGCCATGAGGCAATTTCATCACCTTTCCAACTTTGTCTGATAAATTAAAGCGCTTAATTTTCTTGCAGTTCTGAAAACATATTTCTCGAAATCGGAAGAGATTGTTGAATTTAGCTCCAAATTTGTAATGGTCAATATACAGGTACATGTCGATTTTCTTAAAATTTTGATCCCTTTGATTCTCACTCTGCGAGAACAATTATACTGTACCTGTTTATATAGCCAGAATAATTAATTGCTTTTTGTATAGGACGACAAAGAAGAACTTGGCGAGGAGTTTGATGTGGACGGTGCATACGTTCCACGATTGTATTTCTTTGGTAATTAAGCATTTATTCCGTAGTGTTAAAAAAATTTAGATAAGGGTAAATAGAAATCGTTAAAAAGTTAAAATAATATGCGGAATCGGGATTTTTTAATTACTTTTTGTTTACAATATTATTGGGAAAAGTAACCCAAAGTAAATTTGGGTGGTATAAATTTGGGTATAATAACTTATCAACAGTACAACTTTTATAGTTTCATTCTATCATATGTGTCCTAACGGTCACATTTTACTTGTTCGACGCTTTCAGATCCTCGAAATGGCAGAATAATGGAAGAATTCCATAACGAAAGTCCGGAGTATAAGGATGACTTTATTTATTCGTATGGAAACGAAAAACAAGGTAAATATTTTACATTTTTCACACAACTCTGCAATTGTTGTCTTCATGAGCTCTTAATTGTGTGTCAACGTCTGAAATTTTTCAACTTTTAACCATCGTGTTATTTAATATCTTTTCAAATTAATATTCATTTCTTTATATTATTCTAGTTATCAAAACAATGAAAAAGGTTTTAGAAAAACAAGAAGCTGTCGAAAACGATCGTAGCAGAGGTGATGTTTTTATTATATGAACAGATCATATTATGATAAAGTTGCGTTGATTCGAAATGCATGTCATTCATTTTTCAGGTTTTGGAGGGAAAATTGAGTGGACGTCGTTCAATGATAGTGTGGAGTTAGCTAAAGAGATGTACGTTTTACCGAACAAAATTACTGCAGCATTTTCTTCTCTTTTTTTTCGTATAGCTTAATCCCAGACTATCCCGAAAATGCCTGTTCGAATTCTCGTACTCCATAATTTCTGCATTTCGTTGTCATGTATACACTGTTCCTTATAATCAGATCTAGATATTTTTTAACATTGATTCCATTCAATTACTTCGGTCCTATTCGTTCTTGTCAGTAGCGTAGCCAGCCCGACGATTTGGTACTGCTATATGAAAATTTCAACTCATCATTATTCATTTCTTTAGAAATTGATTGTGTTGATAGTTTATAAACATGGTAATATTTGCATAGCGGGACTGAATCGTCGGGCTGGCGACGCCACTGGTTCTCCAGTCTTTATTTCCAGTTCTAAATGTATTTGACCGGTTTTCCGACCTTCAACTCTTCTCATTAAGTGTTCATACCATCTCCGCTTTGCTTTCCTACCCTTTTACATTTCCTCATTTCTTCTTCAATGTCTTACCACTCCACATCTTCTTCCGAATTATTCATTGTTCATATTGTCCTTCAGCGAAACCCTAGCATCCGTTTCAACATTCACATTCATATGAATTTTTTGGCCAATTATATATGAACAATCTAATATTTTCTTCTATAGAAATAAACCAATTATGTTAATATTCCACCGAAGTTGGTGTCAGTTCAGTCGAGGTAATCATATCTTTCAACACATTCAGATTATTTTTCATGAACAGCGTATGCTGGTGAATCTGGGTTCCCATCATCATGATCTTGCATTGTTAATGGTTAATTAGGATTAAATTAAAGAAAATATTTTATGTTCAGACCTAAAAGAAGAATTTGCACAGTCTCTGGATCTATCAGAAATTAGCAAGTATTTTGTGATGGTCAATGTTGAGGTAAATTCTGAGTACAAGTTGTATTGTGGTAATATCCGTTGTATTCGCGTTTTTAGTCCGAAATTGAGTTATTGAAAGAATATCCTTATTAACCTTAGAATATTTTCCAAAAGGACGTGCACATCCTGTTGGAAAATTATGCTTTGGTATTAATGCTTTAGTGTATGTAATAAATCGAATAAACTATATGAAATATCTCAGGTCATGAGGTGATGTACTTTTGCAACTAAAATGCTGATTTTTTATAGGACGATGAAATTCCAAACGATAAGAAATTTGATTTGGATGGGACATACGTACCAAGGATTCTTTTCTTAGGTAATTTGTCAGATTATCAAAAAATCTTAGACGTTTGTAACATGGGATGGGTATTAGCACACCAATAATGAAAGCACACGTTTCAGTTTCGTCCCACACATTCACACACATCGGTCCTCCTGGCGTCAGGAAGCTTAAAGACCTTCATTCGAAGTGCGGTACGGTAGTATTTTACAGCCACAACTGAATATCCGGGTTTTATTTAGTTAAGTTCAATAATAAACTTCTTGCCGTACGTTGCTTTTATGACTGAAATTGAAAAGAATATTAGAACCTGTGAACGACACGAAGAAACGTCATTATGATTTGTGATAAACGAATACACATAAAAGAGTAGTTAAGTTCGTGTCTGTATTATGACAGTTGCCTCTATGGATATAATACTGGTATTTTCTCTTTGAATATCTGCAACATATTCAGGTGGACGTTATCCAAGGCTTACCTTTCGTCATCTTGTTCTGAAAAACAGCAACAAACGAATACTGACAAATTTATTAATTTACTCAAACTTGATTGGCAAAAAATCTTTCTTTTTCTTTTTTAAAGACTCCGAGGGAAATGTTGATAACGAATTGATGAATGAAAACAGACGTGAGAAAAGCTCAAAATACTTTTATCAACATGGAATAGACGGTATTGTATTAGTATTTCAATTAGTAACAACCCTGACAGCGTTATCTTTGTCACTATATAACCATCATGATCCTTTCTCTATTACAACCGTTATTTTGTTAAAAAATTAATATATTATAGAAACTCCCAAGATGCAGAGGTGAAAATTACATTCACTCACAACTGTGCAACCAATACCTTTGTTTTTTATCCATTTTTAGTTGTAGCTTCTATGAAGAAAGCTCTGGAGAAACAACCTCCACCATCTTTGGAACGAGGTAGGCAAGAATGACAGTAAATATTGAATGTAAACTAATTCCCAATAGAAGTTCCATCTTGAGCTCCATATTTAAGAAAAACAAGCAGAAACAAGATTCAAAAGCAATGTTTCGAATTTATTACCAACTTATCATCAGACTAATTTACAAAAACTAACGTAGGTCTATATATATACAAACGTGATTGCATCATCCATAAGCAGAAAGAAAGCGTGCGTGTGTATGTGTTGGTCTGCTCAAACAGTAATAGTGTGTTATGTCAAGAGTTGAATCTTGTCTCATCTTTAGGTTTTGGAATTGACTATGAATGGATGTCAATGGAGAATGCACTAAGCGAAGCTGCTACATCGTAAGTGGACAGTTACGTTGTTCCATGCATGTTGCTTACATAACCGACCATAATTCGAATACCGTGAATCCTCCATACAGCCTTTCAAGTAAGCATCGTCCCTCCAAAGCCCTCCTCCTTCCTCCCTAATAAGAAGAACATTATTAAGTTCCCTCTATCCCTCCCACCCTCTCCCATCATTGAATAGCTTTTGTCATTGGTTGATTTTAGCAATGAGATACACAACTAAGAATTAAATGTATTAAAGAACTAATTCCAAACACCAGTGAGCAAGCGAGTCACAACACATGTTCATGTTATAGGTTGGTAATTTTACCTTGATTACCGATCAATCAACGTCTATTTCATATTTTAGGGAGAAGCCAATATTTTTAATTATACACCGACCGTTGTGTGGAGCTTGTCAGTATTTAAAAAATGTCTTCAACCAATCCAAAGAGCTTCCCAAGTACGCGCAAGATTTTGTCATGGTCAATATGCAGGTTTGTATAAGGAGACCACTGACATGCCTAATATGAAAATTAAACAAACAAACACTTTACAATCTTAAATTATGATTCGTTATTATATTCTTTAATCTTACATAGTAAAAGTATGTCCGAAAAATAGAAATATTGTTACCATAGCAAATGCTTAGATGGATCCATTCACTGGATCCCATGCTTTTATATTATTATTTTAAGTCTGCGTTTAAATAAACAGTTGTCAATGAACAAATCATGTTGAATACACAAATGTTTACTGTTGATTAATTAGGATGACGAGATACCTGAAGGCAATCAATACGATATAGATGGCAAATATTTTCCCAGAGTATTTATATTAGGTAAGAAAATATATGTAGTTTACAATGTAAAGTTGTAAAATTATAGGGTCCTTTGAAAAATACTTATAGCATAACTATCGTGCTATCCTGTCTATCGAAAAGTTTCATTGTATTTTCCGTTTATTTTCGGATTTATATTTCTGAAATAAATCTTTCAATCGTTCTAGATCCTAATGGAGTTCTCCAACGCGATCTTCACAATATGGATCCAGAATACCTTCAATATAAATTTTCTTACAGCAACGAGATGACAAGTAAGTTACTCTTGTAAACCATGCATGCACTCTTTTTTTTGCCGGTTGAATAAGACAGTGACGTCTGATATACTGACAGTTTTGAATCTTTTTACATTTAGTCATTCGTGTGATGAATGATGCGTTGGCACGATTCAAACTGGTTCAAACTTCAGATCATGGTAAGATTATATGAAAGAAAACCTTGGAAAAAATAGAAAGCTTCAGCTTTTTACTGAGTTGACTTTTTCCATCTCTGATGGTATACACCGCACATTAATATATTGAATATGGAATATCACATGCAATCATTGTAGGAAAATAGATTTGCGTTATTAACAAATACTCCTGTTTGCATGTTATTTCACTGAAACAATTATTCTACCTCCTGTGTTGTATAAAATTAGATTTTGGTGAAAATGTCGACTGGGTTAGTTATAAAGAAGGCGTTGCTCTGTCCAAGCAAAGGTAAATGAAAATAATTCTGTATTCGTTTTAACCATACCTGAAAAAATGAAAAAAATATTTTCCCACAGCTTTCCTTTTCTTGTACATTACAATGTACTATTTGAGTAAATCTTCTTTTCGATTTATATATTTTAGTAACAAACCAATGATGCTGATTATCCATAAAACTTGGTGCAGTGCTTGCAAAGGTATATAAATAGTTTGATAATAACTCAGGGCTTCGCTTAAGAAATCATCACTTGGGAGTCGTCAAGGAAAAGGGGTGATGACTTTAAAGGTTTGACTTTGTAAGAGGGTTTGGGGGTCCACTCGCAGAACATTTTCGTACTTTTGGGTCTCTGGAACTTTATTATCTGCATTCAGCCAGACACAACTCTATGAATTACAAAGGTTTGCTCACGGAAATATGTTGAAAAATTCTTCTTAACTATATATTCTTCCCTTTTCAGTTTATATTTTATACAAAAAAACTCCATTGGGGGTAGGGAACATATCTTACTGGTGTGCCTTCATTGGGGCTGGAGGGTAACCTGCACCTCCCCCCCCCTAAATTTATATGTTATCAGTAAAACAGGTCCTGATGCGACTCATATGTCTCGACTTGAAGCCTTTCTATAAACGTCCTAGTCTTAAGAAAATTGATTTCTTTCATTCCATATATAGCACTGAAAAAGAAGGTAGCTGGCTCTACGAAGTTCGCAGGAATGAGTAAAAACTTTGTTATGGTGAATTCTGAGGTAAGAAATTGTGGTGCATCAAAATTTGTATACGGTTGGCATGCGACAAGTTTATTTGCACGAGATTGATTTGTGTATGTATATGTGTTGTTAGTTTATATAATAATGCAATATCTATTTCCAAAGGATGACGAAGACCCTGATGACGAATTGTTTGAAATTGATGGAAGTTATGTTCCCAGGACGTTCTTTATCGGTAAATCCCATTGCATTTAATAAATTCATCTCGAAGTTAAAATTAATATTTACATGTAGGGCTTTATTTAAAAGCCTTATGCTGGGCTCTAGCTTATTTTCATCACAATCTGAACCTAGATCCATCTGGTGAGACCATGGTTGACATCTACAATTCGGAGAGTATGTACAAAAAGAATAAGTACTACTATTGGGATGCCATAGCACGTAAGTTCTCTTTCTTTTTAATTTTTATTACAAGAATAAAATACTTTACCTCAGATTTACAAAAAAATTAAACATCGTTTATAATATTATTCTCGATAATTATAATGAATTAATAATAAATAATATCATTCTACTTTGAATACTTACATGACGTACTTAATAATATCTTCTAGTCGTTAAATCGATGGAAAAAGTTCTGGATAAATTAAAGATGAATTCTGCTCAACGAGATGAACTATAATAGGTACTTTTATGGTAATATAAAATTAAAATATACAATCATAACTAATTATTTGTAGGTAAATGCGTAGAAAAATATTAAAGTTTAAAATCATTAATTTAATAATATGATTATGTATACCTAGTTGTAATTTTTAACCTCTTGTAATTTTTAACTTTTTGTTTATAAACAATAAAATTAAATATTAATCAAATCATAGTAAGATATAAAGTTTCTTAGCTGGATTACTTAAATAGTTAAATAATTTTCAACAATTAATCAAAATTACCATTGTAAATGATAGTTTAAGAAACCTGACTTGTCATGGGAAAACGCACCGGTTCAAATGGCGCGGGTTCAGACACAGTTTAAAAAGCGTTCAAACCTTAATTTTACCAAGTTCTCACAATCCCGAAAATTTTCTCACAATTTTTGAACGTGTTCAGTATTACTTTCTGAAGAATTTTTAGCATTAGTGTTTCTGTAAGTAGGAGAGCTAAGGGTGCACGCTAATATTCCTTGCTTACTGAGGGATCGACTCAGCTGAATTCCAAATGACGCAATTCAACGTGGTCATGAAGCACAGCGTACGATGAAAAGGTTAGTTTGCGATTCATCCTGTTGTTCGAATCAATCGAGTGAGGAACGTATCAGCGCTAATGACGTAACAGCTCTAATATCCATCTTGTTGGCAGATGACGTCATTCCATGGGTAAGATGATAAGAATGATAAGAAGCTACGTTGCGACTTCACCCCTGATGACGAAGACACTAGACTGGAGTGTCGAAACGTTGGGTCGTGAATGCAATTCGATTGGGCTTTGCATTCATTCGTAAAAACCAGAGTAGCGAGCGCTAATGACAATGGTTTTATGTATATGTTTGTTTTGCACTGAAATGTTTTCAATATTTTAATTTGTAACGCATACATGTATTGTTGCTTCAGTGAAACAACTATTAATTACCCAACGGATGCCCATGTGCTAAATAACCGTTGCCCAGCAGTTTTTGTGAAATCAATTAGCAATTGAAAGAGATTGTAATTATTGCAACTTGAAAATATGCTATAGTATAATCAAAACATTGTACACAGTGTCTGTGCCAGTCTACTTACATACGATTGCGTGGGGTCAAAATATATTATTGAAAACTTTGTGAACTGTACCGTCGTAACTGCATATTCGCTATGCTTAGAAGAAACAGTCAACGATTATGCAAGTTTGCTGCATGCTTAGCGGTACTGGCCGTCGTTTGTTATGCGTTTGGAAAATGCGATGACTTCGTCCCAGTGTTATTTAAAAAACTCGATGGGTTTACCGACCAATTCAACAAGCTTTTACCGCAGTTAAATACAATGCTAAAATCCCGTTTAAACTACACGGCATTGGCATCGAGACAGCAGGGGAACAAGTATGATTTGAAGCCAGAAGACGGATCGTATTTGAGGGCGGGAAACGATGAGAAGCCTGCACAGATTACAAACGATCGTGACGTTTATGTCAAAGTTCAAAATCCAGGCAAAGACAATACTCAAAGCAAACAAGAACTTAAAGATTCAGAAAATAACTTTTTAAGGGAATCAGATTTTATCAAAGTGTTTGCCAAGTTCACAGAAAGACAGAATGTCGAGGCAGGACGAAGGCAGAGTCAGTTTGAGAATCTTTTGAAGAATTTAACTAGAATTCTCGTAGACATTCACCAGAGAGAACAAGAAGATAGTTTTAGAATTGCAGGTAACGAAAACGAACGTGAACAAAATGAGAGATCGAGTGAATTAACGATAAAGAAACCAAATTATTTTAACGAGAGTGAACCGTTAACGTTGAAAAGAAGACTGTTCACTAGTCAAATTCATACGAAACAGCCTCATAAAACGCCACATGAAGAATTAACAGTCAGAAATGATAAGTCTGCTAAAATTCTTCCCAAAACGGACTTGTTTGAACCATATTCTACATCCGCTTTAAAAGTCAACTACCCAATCAGTAAAACAGAAAAGCTAGTTAAATTGAGGGAAAAGAGTATTACAACTAGATCTTCTTACAACGCTTTAACTACGGAAGCAAACCTGTCGTGGACAAAAACTAATACTAAAAGACAAATAACAACAGCAATAAAAAACCTTACAACTTTTAAACCAGCCAAACTTTTATTGGATCAAAACACTCTTAATCGCCGTGCCGAGATATTTTTAAGAAAAATGAAAAATTTCGGACTTACGTACAACGAAAGCCTTTTCTACTACAAAGGCCAACCAAATTCTGGTATCTTTTACAGAGAAGTGTCACCGGTTACAGCAGTCAGAAATAAACTGACAATTTTCTTATTGCACGATTCCCACTACGATTCCCAAACCTGGTTAAGTATTGGCACTTTGTATTCTTTAGCAACGCACGGGTACAGAGTCATTGCTCTAGACCTACCAGGACATGGCAAGTCGAAAAACGTATCGGAGCCTCCCAATAGTATCGAAAAGCTAAAATTACTGGTGACTTTTATGCTGGCAGTTACCCCTAAAAGTCCCCGAGTCATTGTGTCGCCTGGCGAAAGTGGTTTGTATTCGGTTCCCATGGTGATGTCCGCGTCAGTGATGCTGAAAGGTGTGGTATTTATTTCCACAGCTTATACGGGAAAATACCCCGCATCAACGTACGAGAATGTGCAGCTACCGGCATTAGTAGTCTACGGGGGAAATGATGACATGACACCCCTTGGAGAATTTATAGAAAGCATGAATCGTTTACCTAATTCAGGAAGGTTTCGTTCCATTCAAAATGCTGGTCATGATTGTCACATGGAACAGCCTGATGTTTTTCATGAATTAATGACTGATTTTTTACTGAAGGTCTCACAAAGAGATAAAACACGGAAACACGTTCGTTCACAAAAACATAGATAGTTCAAGTAAAATTACTCTCACACTCATTAAATTATTTGATATTTTATGTTAGGTTCAAAATTGTCTCACTTTTCCAACAATTTATAACAAACGGTTATCCCTATATATTGAGATACCTGCGAAAGAGCGGGCTGATTTTCTATTGGGAACAGATCCAAAAACTGTCATATTTTACAGTATAAATAATTATTTATACTGTAAAAATACATGTAAATCTTGTAGTTTAATTAATACAATTCAAATGTACTTAAAATCAATAGTTGTAATAAGAATAATTACTTACAATAATTATTTCATGGTAATGAATATGCTCAGCTGCACGATACACTATATTCATATGTTAATGATAAACTTGTGTGGATTCTTGATTAATGTTGTGAAAAAAGCCGTTTGGCATTCCAAAATTAATGGTTTCACCATTGTCTGTAAAATTCATCTTGGAATAGGGAACTTCATATTCTTGGTTATTTGCATGAATTTCTTGGTAGCTCGAGCGGAATTCGTGACCGTTTGCACGGTAATCGTGACCATTAGCACGAAAATATTGACTGTCAGCACGAAAATCGTGACTATTTGCACGCCAGTCGAAACCGTTTGCGTGAAACTCGTAACAGTTTGTGGGAGAATATTCGTGACCATTTGCGCGAATCTCGGTGCCGTTTGCTCGCGAATTATTCAAATCTTTGTCATGAAATTTTACATGTAAATCCATACGGCCTCTGTACTCGCCATTTATTGGCACCTCCTTGTACTTTCTGGGGTCCACATGTACCGTGTTATCGTCGTTTGATTGATGTATTCCCGGCTGTCCATTTGGATACCATGTTTCACCACTTGAGCCGCTATCATTTGCGTGTACAACTTGGGTAAGTGCGTGTTGCTCTTGTATGTTTGCGCGAAAATTATGAATGCTGGTGCGCAACGGTTTCACATTTGCGTGCACACCATGGACATCAACGTGCATCTCGTCACCATTTGCATGATCTGCCTCATTCACATACACACCATTTGCGTATATTTCGGAAATATTCATACGCGTGTCATGAATGTTCCCGTTCATTGCGCGGGTTTCTTGACTAACTACACGAAAATCTTGCCCGTTTTCGTGTAGTACCTGACATTTTTCGTGTTCTCCCTGATTGTAGGCAGACATTTCCTGATTATTTGCGTGCAACTCGCTTCCATTCGTGCGAATCTTATGTCCATTTACGTGATATTCGTTTCGCGGTAAAGTTCCGTCACTTGTGCCCACTTGGTAATCATTCTCTGGGGAGGTTGGAGTGGGATACAAAGATTGAAATACTACTGGATTTTCCAACATGCCTTGACTGATCACAGCATTCTCGAACTGGAACTGTGTTTCGCTATCACTTCCATGGCGGCCGTGAGGAAATGCGGGCGATGGGCTTGGGAACGTTTGGAGCACGGGCGATCTTCTTTGAGCCGGATCTGTAGGGAACGGAGTTAACGAGAACAACACTGGAGGAGAAGAAAGGGGAAATTTATTTTGGAACGTCATCGGCGGATAACTATTTAGGTTCTCGAGGAATGGATTATCTAATACTCGAGTGAGCTTATTTCCACCTTTCTGCTTTCGTTTCGGTTGGTATTTGTATTCTGGATGCTCTTTCTTGTGTTCCATGCGAAGTCGCTTCGCCTCGTCGATGTAGGGTTTCTTCTGTTCTGGCGGAAGTAAATTCCATTCCGTCCCCAGTCTCTTGCTGATCTCGGAATTCAGCATCCTTGGAAATTCCTCGGCAATTCTTCGGCGTTCTTTCCGAGACCAAACCATGTAGGCGTTCATTGGTCGTTTTATGTGTCCTGCATGTTCCTCAGTTGACGTCATCTGAAAATGTGAAGAAAATAGAATTCTCAAAATGTTCTTAGATCTTCCTTACAATTGCATGCATATGGATAACAAGGAAACTATGAATTGGTCACGTATTATATTTGATCACAAATGCAACTGCGCATTACTGCTATAGTGTTTCGTTAGAAATTTCTATCTATGGATAACCAATTAAAACTGTGTTCTGTCTCTGAGGATCATGTCCAAAATGAGAACAACTTATCCCTACCATCTTCTAGCTAGCATTACCCTTATATGTATGCATGCATGCACCAACTTGTAGTCTTGGCAAGTAATTTATTTTCTTTGTAGTTTATATACGTACAATCCTGGACACAACACTTGAGACCATTCCTTGCAATATTGCAAATTTAATATACATGCATTGATAAAGCAAACTTTGTAACCCCCTCTCCTCCAGTTCATACAATCAGAGGTTCAGATTTGACTTCTACTACTGCCACCGCTACAATTAAGGGATAATCACCAATCAGATAGCGGTCGGTGGTAGTCCAATATGAACCTCGCTATTGTTGTGAACAGCGCCCAAACAACTTTTGGTTGCATAACATGACAATTAAGCTCAACATTGAGTTGGGGCTTACGGAAGGGGAAGATGATGTTACATGGAATTTATCATAAGAGGGAATGATAGTTTAAACTAGTTATGTCTACAATTGTGGCACGTTGGTTAAAACGCTCTTCCGAAAAAGCAAGCCCGGCAAGTTCGATTCCTGCACGAGAACGTATAATGAACATTTTCTGCTTTGTGATAAAATTCGGGCTGACAGATTGAATACTTTACCAAATTAATAATCGAGATGAGCGTCATTTGAATATTCTGTGAATATCTTAACAGTCGATTAAAAAGATAATGCAGAATGTAATATCTGATAATGATGATCCCCTATTTTTGGCCACGCACAGGGAACGCTTGCATTGTCTACCACATCCTATTTACGAAGGAAGGCCTTTCTCCTTCCTTTCCGAGCTACGATGTGACTGACGATGATCCGACATAGGCAAAATAATGCAAATACATTTTTTATTACTTCCATTTTGTAAATAATGCAAAAGATCGCTAAGGAACACAAATTTTGCAGAATTATGGATTGGAGTAGCAAATTCAAGGAAAAAGTCCAATATCTTTGTTCCATTCGAGCGCGACCTGCATACACGAAAATGGCAATTGCCAAACTATTTTTAAATATCGTCAATATAGTGAAATAGTTCCCAATAATAGTAAAAAAGTAATCAGTTAATAGCGAAATAGTTCATAGCGCATTCAAGAAAAAATGTAAAAATTCCTTTGTCTTGCAATCTGCAAGGGCTTCACAGCGTTGCTATAATGCTATATAGCTTCGAAGTAATCGAAGTGATCTCACGAACTGTCAAATAAGCGTTAGATATAAACCGATTAGCACTGTTGTACGATTTACACTAACCTGGAGAATTGTTATTCTTTATGAGCCGGGACTCTATTCTTCACTGGAAATTGTTTTGGTCGGGTTTTGTCAACTAAGACACTCTCCAGTGTCTTCGCCTGTGTTCACAGTTCAAACAATCGATCAGTAGAACAAAGGGCAATCAATGTTATGTCTTGGCGAAAAATTGTGCTACCTGCTCCCGCTTTGCGCGCGCTTACACATGCGTGATAAAAAAGCGATGATTTTCCCCATGCTTGAATGGCGTACCGGCACGTTACCATAGTGACCGCCACGTGCGCGTGCTCAAGAGATGTTTTGCTTGAATGAAGCGTGAATTGCACCTGTTGGTTTTTAATAAAGTGAAGACAAAATAGATATTTGTTGAACTATATTTGGCTATCAAGACATGTACAGTACATACTTACACCACCAGATATTATTCTGATAGACTACAGAGTTCTAATTAATTAACTTGATGTAGGAGTGTTGGTAAAAATTTGATAGTCAATGATTTGAAACGGATCTGAAAACCTACCTGTCTGCCTCATAACAAGTTAGTTTCTGCTAGCTTTACACAGAGATGAGGTAAAATCTTCAGCAATAGACATTATCGGCTAACGTTTGCTAGTTAACAATTCCGCAACTTTGGATAAATCGTATGGCTAGTTACTATTATTTCAGTTTTTGCGAGCATAGAACAGCACAAAGGTATCAAAGTATTATAATTGTCTTTATAAGTGGATGACTCAGTCTTATTCATTAATTCTAATCTTAGTTACCCTTCTTCTATTCTATGCTCTGGTACTAGAACAATAATAACTAGGACTATGGGTTATCCAAAGTTGAAAATTGGGTGGCAATGACGTTAACAATTATGAGTCAATTGTCGATTCTGTCTATTGCCCGCCGGCTTACAAAGACAGATATATCGGCTGGGAAGACCGAAATTCAACTCCATATCTCAACAGCACATATGAGTCCAAAGATGCCGCAAATATAGCTGATTCTCAGCGTATTACCGTGCCGCAGATGCTGACAAGAAAATTAGAGTAAATCTGTTTCTCTCTTATTTATCTGCAGCAAATACACGAGTTTTCCAATGACAATGAAACGAATGAGCATTATCGGCATCGCCCCCCTGTCATAACTGTTTTGTTACTGGAGTCTACACCGTAGGCTATTTGTAACCAAGCCTGATTCAAAAAAGCATTTTATATATTATATTTTAAAAGTATAAAAAGTATTTTTGCAGTGTTCTGCGAGTTTGCCGGTGGTGTCGTGGTAACGGTGTGCGTCTACTAGATCATACGTCGTTCATGGGCCCGAATCCCAGCAGGTCTTTCTAAAAATTTAAGTAATGTTTTATTCTTTCTAATTTTGACAGTTATAGTGTAATAATATCATAGCTATATATCTATGAATAATATAGTTTCCAACTGTTTATGTCGTATTCCTATTACTCACACTTAAGCTTAAGCTTAAGACACTTAACACAAGACGTTTAATTCGTACAGACATCTAAGGCATCTTGTAATATACATATGACGAATGTCACACTAATTTGCCTGAATTGATGATATACTTTGACCGACATACAGTAGAATGATAGATATATATATATAGTCAATTGTCAATAGATATATAGATATACAGTGTGTATAAAAAAAACTGAACCCTTTCAAATTCAAATTAGCTATAACGTAATTGTTTTTGTTTGTGGAAACACCACGTAAATTTATTACTGCAAAGCTTTGACGTAATATGACATATTATTAGCACTGATGAAGATCCGGGCTTACGGATCGAAAGCTTTGCAGTAATAAATTTACGTGGAGTTTCCACAAACAAAAACAATTATATTTTATCGCCATGCAAACATACAAAGAACTTATTAGCTATAACGTATTGTAGTAATTTGACAGCTCTAATTGCTTTGAATTAATGGTTGGGTAAGAACACAAGGTCTTGTACTCATGGGACGAAACTCAAAGAAATAAAAATTAGAAAATTTAAAAGTTTTTAAGGGTTTTGTCCCATGAGTACAAGACCTTGTGTTCTTACCCAGGCGGTTCTTACCCAACCATTAATTCAAAGCAATTAGAGCTGTCAAATTCAACTACAATACGTTATAGCTAATTTGAATTTGAAAGGTTCAGTTTTTTTTTATACACCCTGTATATAGTTAAACTTTGAGTTCAGCTGCTCTTCTTTTTAGTTGAAATCTAAGCTGTCCAAACGCACATCGTGGAAGACAAGTATATCGGAGACATGAGTAAATTTACACATGGAAATATTGTGTCTATTAGGTCTTCCGCAGTAATACTGGGATGTTCCACAATCTTCGTTTTTCTCGCAACGTACATGACCACAGCTTCGATGACATTCCTTCTGACCCATTCCACAACAATACAACAACTTTTCTGGGGATCCACAGTCATACCTTTAAATACAAAGAAACAAACTTCTGAAATAATCGTTGGGACTGATTATAAAGTATTGCCTTTGATATCTCAAGGCGGAGAAATATTTTAACAAGGATAATTTGTTAGGATATGGTATTATGTAAAAAAAGCCTTAATAATATATTTAGAGCATATTAAGTTGGTTGTTGTCTTTCCGGACAAAAACGGCTCCCACCATGGGCTCGTCTCTAATTAAAGAACCAAGACCTTCAAAATGTATGTGCCAAACATGATACAACGGCGGCCAAATTAAAAACAGACACCCTGAGTGCCTCAGGTACTAGACTAGCTACAGTCCATTTGTCACAAAGACGTGAAATCCTATTTGAATAGAAACTTTTCTCACTCTAGATTTCTAGTAATCCCCTAGCCCTTTGAGATGCAATTAGCCTTTCTCACGCCGCCAATTTTGGTGACTTTTCAGCCGAAGTCTGCAAAATAAGTCCACATAACAGCGACTTTTTATAATTTTTTTGGACGAATGATGGTAAATTTGCTTTGTAAATGGTTAGTTTATTTTGAATAATTGCTTTTCCCATTGTTTTAATTGTCTGCATTGGTTAACGAGAATTAGGCCAGGGGCAAACGTCGAACTTTTCATGCGCCGAACCTAATGTTAATGAGCTAAGTTCTTTGTTTCACTTCATTTGCATTAGGTTCGGCGCATGAAAAGTTCGACGTTTGACCCTGGCCTTAGATGCCACCCAAAAATGGCGGATATTCGTCATCGTGAGAAAGGCTAATTGTACAATTCACTAACTTTGGGGGCTTGGGGCTCATGTATATTTCAATCGATACAATGTAAGCATTGGCGAACAAGATAATAAATACCTAAACGTCTCCGTGTAGCATATAGAACCTTCACAAGTCCTGCGACATGTTCCGTCCCCACAGCAGAAGAGTCTGGGATATCTTTGGCGACCACATTCCTTCACCTCTGCCAAGGAGCATCCATGGTTGAGACAAGAGCGCGCGCACGTTCTGTTCTCGAAGAAACCGCAGCAGTCAAGTTTGCTGGATTGGCAGTCACGGTGTTCGAGGCAAGACGAACCACGACAACTTTTCTTACATACGCCATTACAACATTTCATTCTACTACGACCCCATCCCCCGCAATCTCTGTTATCAAAACACGGTTTGTCCTGACATGAAAGCTCGCATCGTCCACTACAGCAGTCTAGTCGTTTCCCACGATGCCAACCGCATGTGCGATACGAAGGATGCAAGCTGTTACAAGATGAACCAAGACACGAATCCTTTCGACATATATTGTTACAGCATTTTAATGATCTGTCCTTACAGTCACTGTTCGTATGGCAAACAAGACCTTGAAAAAAGTACACGTTTCAGAGGCATCGATCTTAGCCTGCACTATGGAATATTATATTAATTTGCAACTATTATACTGTACCTGATTTTTTCTCTCATACTTTTATAATTCTCATTAATAATATATAAACTACGAGAAAACGTAAAGGAAATCATGACCGTGAAGGAGATTGCGTATCCGATACAAAATTCTGCTGATTTAGATAGATTTCAAGTTTCTTTTCTCACCAAATATGAAATATCATTCGTTTCTTTAAAATTATTTGAAGAATACGAAGGTATTTACTTTTTATCCAGACGAATAAGTCAAGAATTACAAGGCATGATATACAGCATTCACGTACGTGCTTTATAAGAGGGTGTTGATGGGGTATATCGTGAGTTGTGATTCACTCAATTTCGGTTACCGGCAGTCGTGAAAACACTAAAAATTTAGCGTGAATCGTGAGGGAAAAAATTACTGTTTATCGTTTCAGAACATTTTTCAAAGATTTACCGTTAAAATACCAAAATGTTACTTATTGTTACCATTAAAATACCAACATTTTTACCGTTTACTGATTTTCAGACAACCCCATCTAGACCCTCTTATAAGTTATACAACCACTCGTCTTCGACTTTTCTCTATATCTCGTACAACATGGTCGCTCATGCTGTATATGAATATTGTGTGGTATATTGTATAATGTTTTATATTTAGTTTTGTGATTCGAATTATTCACAACGTGTTCAAATAAAGCTTTACCTGCCTACCTACCTTCACAATTCGTTCGACAGTGTCCCGCGCAACATTTGTGGCCTTGAGAACGGGAACCGCATTGGAAATCCCAACGACAACGTTTTCCAACACACGTTGAGTTACACGCGCCATTGCAACATATTTGATTGCGACGTCGACATTGTGGGTCGCTGAACCGATTTGAACAAAGGTTTTCGAACGATGATCGAAAACACAGAGTAAAAAGCAAGGCCGTCGCGCTTAAAAAGAATACCCTTGACATGTTATGATGCGCGGTTATCGAAGATTAAAACTTTATATTCTTCAATACTACAATGTATTATGTTGTTATCGGCAAACTCAACTTGTTTACATGAGATAATACACTCTATGATGTAGACCTTTTGAAACAAGAGAGCACTTGTATACAAGTAATTTGAGATTAAGGTTATTTCCTTCCTAATCTAAGTATAGAGTTCACGAATTTCCACAGGAATGCACGAGAATGTAATTAAAATTATAAGTTGAAGAATATAATCAATCTATAGTAGCATATAAAAGCTAAAATACGCTTCTGTTCAATATCGCAACATATTGGTATTAGAAAACTAGGATACTGCCTAAAGTGCTTCACAAGTCAACAGCGCATACATGAGATTCCCTGATTCCATTTAGCCAAAAATGACTGCAGGACTGTCAAGGACGCACGAAAATGTAATAATTAAAGTGTGAAAATGATAAATGAAACGAATCTAATGACAGACGAAACATTTTACTTTATTAGTCCAAACAAATCATTTTCGCAAAAATTTAAATAATTCTTGCTTCTCTCCGCTTTGTATGTTAATGAGCATTTGGCGCACACTCTGCCACTAGTGTTCCTGTCTGTTACAGCGGCTCGCCAGAGCTCGCTAAGGAAAGCGATAGTTTTTATGGCGAGTATTAACTGGCACGAAAATGACGAGTCTTGTATTCGAACTCGTTTTCAAATACTCAGTTCTCAACGCCTTCTGATATGCGGCACCACGCACCGATTCTGATTGTTCCGGTTTCGCCGTTGGATGTGTTCAAGTCAATTCTTGATTATATAAAGCTTGTTTGTAGTCCCAAATTTCTCCCAATCGATCACTATACTGTATATAATATGACAACTACTCGTATAATGTTCCTGTCGAATTATTCCTGTTGCAATTTTCGCATTCAATTATATTATATTTGCCATTTTTAACATTGTTCATATGATATTTTTCGGTTGGGCACTTTTTAAAACTCGTCCCAGTTCACTCAATAGGCGAACTAAGAGGCCTAGGGACTAGGCTGGGAATCCGGAATGACTAATTACCGATCTGAATTAAATAAACTGGTTCTCATATTTCAAAATCGTAAGAAAATGACTAAGCCAGTCAGCTCCAGTTTCAGATTGAATCTGAAGCCAGAGGCATGGCGTTCGTGTTCGAATGGCTCTAACTCCACAAACCTTCACCCACAATATTTTTTTGTATTCTTCAACAAAAGCCAAGGACTATCATATAACGCAATCGCTGAGTCGCTACTGCTTCTAAGGGACCGGTCATAAAGTAAAAGGGGAGGGGGGGGCTGGGAAAATCAGATATTTGGTGTCTGCATTTTTGGTAGCCCACCCCTTAATAGCTGCACGAAAATTTGCAGCCCACCTCTAAATTGGTGCTGAAAAATTTATGACCCACCCCTTTCCGATTTTTTCCGGACAAGAACCTCCTTTTTTAGGTAAAAAAATTTCCGGACGAGTACACGGCAATTACTTTCTAAGCACTCTGTCTTAAATTTTCATACCAAATTTGGGTACTTAGCCTAAAAAACAGATATCGTGTTCTTTGCACGGAAATTTTTAACACAAAAAAATGACTGGGCCCAATCTTGTGCATATTTTTAGAGGGTCTTAATAGGGGTCTTTGGGTGTCAGTTGTCAGCTAAAATTGAAGCCAGTTGTCAGTTGTCAGTGCGATATATTGCAAGCTGTCAGTAGTCAGGTACTGCAAAAAAGCTGACTCATCATTTTTTCATATTTTCTCAGTTGTCAGTTAGCATATTTTGTCATTTGTCAGTCAAAAATTCAGGCAAATGTCAGTAGTCAGTTAACCCCATTCAGACCCTCTTTTTACATGGCCCACCCCTATGATTGCGCATAACTTTCGATGACCCACCCCTTCAACCGTGCTCAAAAATAGTTTCTGAAACTGGAGCTGACTGGCTTATCGTGAAAATTAATGATCTAAATTTGACCGTAATTCGATCTAAATTTGAACGCATAGGCGTACCGGGCGGGGGGGCGGGGGGGGGGGCGGTAGCCCCCCAGTTTTTTGGGCAGTCGGGCAATATTCGATCAACAGTCGGGCAATTTTGGTTTGCAATAAAAAAAATGGGACAAATTCTGTCAATTTTGTCTAAAATTAAGTCAATGTTTTGGCAAATTTTGTGATTTTTCGAAAATTTGTGTTATGTTCCGAAAAATATTGGTTGTCCGGAAAATTTTTTTGACATTTTTCCGGGAGATGTATGCAAATACATTAAACTTGTAATAAATGCCAAAACTTTATTCGCAACTTGTATTATTATTAAAAGAGATATGGTCTCAAATAACAGCAACTGAAAGTATTTGTAAGCTTGTGGTCTTACTCAGTTTATTTGTGTCTGTTCCCGATTCCACAATTTCATGATCAGTGTAAATGGTTGTTAAAAATCCCAATGCCAAGGGGAACAACTATCAAATGTATGTATGAATATACACTCTGCTTAGGGCCATTCCTC